TTGTTATCTTTCTACTATCTTTTAGATTATTATTTTTGTTTCAGATTTTTATTTTAATATTTTGTAGATACTTTTTTGTTATCTTTCTACTATTACCAATTTTGCCATAAATGCATAGAATCCGAAGTCTAGTATTAATACAATATAATGTGATTATAGTAAACTTATTTTTAACCATATTTATGGAGGCTGTTGCTTGCAGACCTTTTTTCTCTTGTTCCTAACGTAATGACCAGAAATTGAATTTTTAAATCATGATTTTCCTATTCTGAGACAAAGTAGACCAGGATCTAAAAATTCTATTAAAATATAACAATTTTAAGAATAAGTATGCGAATTCTTGCATGTAATTCGCAAAGTTGATTTCAATAAGACGAACAAAACGAAACGAATAAAATTTTCTTCGTAGAATTAATTCGGAGGATTAGTCGAATAAAATTTTCGTCGATGAATTTATTCGAAAGATCAGTCAAATAACATTTTAATGGGAAAAAGTATTCGAAACGTCGATCGAATAAAAAAAAAATTGCATTCGATTAATGTCCGATTCTGCCAACGCCACATATTAACCCTTTGCACTCGAGTGGTGACTCCGAGGCACCACGAAAATTGTTATTACACCACGGTCCAAAATAATTTTTATAATAACAAAGTTTACGTATAAAGAATTGTTAAAAGTCTAACTGTTGTATGAGTCGCAAGACTCGATTTCGTATGCATAAAATGCACTTTATCATTAAAATGGAAATACCATAAGTCGGGAAGGTTAATTTAAATTTACAGTTAATATAGCTTCGAGTGCAAAGGGTTAACACTACCGTTGTACTTTAAGTCGACAGCAAATTCGAAATTTTCATTAATTGGACCCGCTTCTAGCGTCCTGCTCGAAGGGCGAACTTCCGAAAAAGGTCTGCGAGTAAGAAAACAGCGACAAGATTAGGTCCTTTTTCTGATCAGCCTGTAGTTCCGGAGAAGTTGCAATTAATAGCCTATATAAATATATATATATATATAATATAATAATTAATTAATATATATATATATTATTATATATTTAATTATATATAAATATATAATTAATTAATATATAATAATATTATAATATTATAATAATTATATATATATGTATATTGTATATAATTATTATAATTATATATACAATTTTATAACAATATAAAATATATAAATAAATATATATTTATATATATATTATAATAATATTATAATAATTATATATATATATGTATATTATATATAATTGTTATAATTATATATATATGTATAATATATATTATTATATATATATATTATAAATATTATAATAATTATATATATATATATATATAAATAAATTATAGCCTATAATAGCCAATAATAGGGCCGAGAAGAAGGGTCCCGGGTCCGGCCGGGGACAAACCAATTTACCTTCCCAATTCGCTGCGATTTTCCTCCGGATGAGAACTACGCTCCTGGAGCAGTCTCTCGAGATTCCTCTCGAGCAGCACCCGGTCAAGGCCACCTGTCCTCGAGCCGCTCGAAGGGAACCCGTCGACCGTGAATTCCGGGCTGAGGGTGCTCTGCGTCGGTGTCGTCGCCAACGAAGCGGAGGTTTGATGATGTTTCCTGGTCATTCGGGGCGAGTTGCGCGGCGATCCAAGGGTGTGCCTGGATCCTGGGGGCGGGGGCGGTGGCGGCGGCGGCGGCGGACTCGAGGAACCCTCGCTGGCTGGCGGCTGTCTTCGACCGGTCCTGGAAAGTCGAATGGTAATCCGTTAGGTCAATAAGAGAGTCGCGAAGGCAACGACAATCGGAGGCGGTCGGGGCCCCGGGACAAATATGTACTCTCATAAGGGTTGATGTTTTCTGGTGCTTGACTCCGGGACGATGCCGCGTCGGGGTCGCCGAGGAGCCGAAGAGGTCGCCGTCCTTCTCGACGGTGGCAATTTCAAACATTGTCGTCAGTTTGCTGACGCAAATACAATCGCGCGCGATTCAATTTACGCGGATTCGAAAGGCAGCGAGGAAATTCGACCCCCTCCGTAGTCGGAGCCATTTTAAGTCAACGTCGAGAAAAGTTTAGCCGCGGACCTGCTGAACTACCGATTATTTTTAATATTTGTCGTGTTACCTTTATGATTGTAACATCGATGGATAGCCGAGATTTTTTCGATTAAAATGAGCCCAAACACGATGCAAATTGGTTTACCGTAAGCTATTCTAGGATTAATAGCAATCTAGAAGCAATTTATAGTAATCTATAATAATTAGCATTTCCATAAATGTAATCCGATTTACATCGTGTTTGGACTCATTTTAATCAGAAGAATCTCGGCTATCCATTGGTGTTATTATTGTAATAGTAAGATTGAAATTATTGAAGATAAAATTATTCTTATTGCAACTTTTTTCAGTAGCTATTATTAGTAATTCTCTTATACCACAATATTATTTTATGTCATTTCGAATCTTCTACTATATATATAATATAATATAATATAATATAATATAATATAATA